CTGCATTTTGGTGAGGTTTGTGTGTTTGCAGAATTGCATATTCATCACCACAGTCCATTTTGGACATTTTTATCACCAGGCAAAGAAACGTCATATCCTTTAGCATAACTCATTTCCTTCACTCTTCCTAGCCTTGAGTGTCCCCCACTCTGTTTTCTCTTTCTTTGCTGTAACCTTGACCACTTCATATGAACATATGCCACTCTGGCTAGCTTCTTTCACTTAGCACAATGTTCTCAGGATTGATCTATGATGTAGCACGGGCCACAACTTCTTTTATTGCAGAATAATCCATTTAATAGGAATGCCACTTTTTTTGTGGGATTTGTTTCATTTTATTGTTTTTGTTGTGTGTGTGGTATGTGTACACTGGTTCGTATATGCCAAAACATGTGTATGGATGTCAGAGGACAACTTTTGGAGTCAGTTTTCTCCTTCTGCACTGGGTTCTGGGTATCGAAATTAGGTCTTCAGATGTGTGCAGCAAATGCTTTTACCCACTGAGCCATCTCAGCACTCCAGATTTTACTGTATTTTTTTGGAAACAGGATCTTGCTGTATAGCTGAGGCTAGTCTCAGATGACTGTATACCTCAAAGTGACCTCAAATTCACAATCCTGCTTTAGCCTCCCATGTGTTGGGATTACAGATGTGAACCACCACACCGAGCCACATTTTATCTATTCATTCAAACAGATCTTAGAGATTTTCTACTTTGGGAGCACTGTAAATAATGCTGCTATAAACATTTGGGCATAACACATTTTAAAAACATGTCTCACTAAGGATAGAATTGCTTGATTGTGTTGTAATGCTGTGCTTAATATTTTGAAGAACTGACCAACTTTTTAAGAGTGACTGCTCCGCTTTGCATTCCCAGAAGCTGATGGCTAAGGGTTCAGTCTCCTCCGAGTTATTGCTATGCTTGTCATGCTTTGTTAATATGGATTCCATCCTTCCATCCACTCTCCCCAGATTTCAGATGAAATTCCTGATGGTATTTGCCATTGGGAATCATAGTAGCATTTAATTTTAGGGTGACCGTTATTTAGCCTCTCCTTCTAGGAAATCTATTGGGGGAAAAACAGCCTTCAGGGACTTCTTTACAATGTACAGCCAATTATGTTTCCACAGTGCAGCATAAGCCTGCAATTCTAAGTACCTAGTCTGAGTACATTAAATACAAACAAAATAGAGCTAAATTCAAGGCACAGACATGGAATTTTAGAAGTAGAAGAAATCCTAAGGATTCATTCACCAACAGTTTCGTTTCATAGATATAGATTCTTAAATCAAACCAAGAGACTCATGTGAGCACAGCTATATATTATAGAATAAGACTGAAACCTGATCTTATCAGTCCACACTGAAGTCCCAGACAGCTCTGCTCAGCAAACACAGGAGCAGTAATAATTTCCAGAGCGAGGGCAATATACATGCACACACACACAACAAAGTTCATAAATATTCAGGCATAGCACATTCTAAAACTGAAAAGAAAAGCTGGAGCTGATTCTAGCCAATTGTATTGAATGCATGTTACATGGCGTTTTAAGATTTTGTTTGGGGGATGCAAGAGCTGGCTCTGCGTTTAGGAACACTTAGCACGCTAGGAGCACTTAATACTCTTGCAGAGGACCTGAGTTCAATTCCCATATGGTCACAAACCATGGTCTGTGAAGTCAGCTCCAGGAAAACCATCGCCCTCTTCTGGCCTCATCTGGTGCTGCACTCACATGCATATACACACAGATACATACACATACACATAATTTAAAACTCAATCTTTAGCCGGGCGGTGATGGCGCATGCCTTTAATCCCAGCACTTGGGAGGCAGAGCCAGGCAGATCTCTGTGAGTTTGAGGCCAGCCTGGTCTACAGAGTGAGATCCAGGACAGGCACCAAAACTACACAGAGAAACCCTGTGACAAACAAACAAACAAACAACTCAATCTTTAAGAAGACTTTGCTTAAATAGTTGCTCCTATGGTTTGCGTATAATTTATTCCTCCAGAGGGGCTAAGAGATTATGTGACCTTTAAGAGAGAGACTCTATTAGAGATTTGATAGGTCATTAGGTATACCTATGTTGGTAGGGATGAAGATAGCTCTCCTGGGACCCTGAGGAGTTCTCATAACAGCCAGTTGCTATAAGAGGGAACCTGACTCTCCCTACTTTCCTGCTTCCTGTCTCACCACACATTCCCATCTTGCACACCCTCCTGCTGATGTGATACATCACCTACAGGTCTTCAGAACAGCTGAGCAAAGGTCAGCATGTCCTCCAGTCTCTGGAACTATAAGAAAAACAAAACTCTGTTTCTTTATTGGAAAACACAGCTTTGTGTATTTTGTTATGAAATGGACATTTGGCTAATACAGCTTGCCCATTCAGAAAACAAAGAGACTTCATACACACATCCAAAATATTCATTGACATCAAGCCTATGGCTACTGTTTAAATTTTGCAACACCCACACGTGATGGTGCATCTCTGTAATCCTATCACTTAGAGGTTGGAGGCAGAAGAATCAGGAGTTCAAGGTCATCACCAGCTACACACTGAGGTTGAGGCTGATTTGGGCTTTATAAGACTCTATTTCAAAAAGTAGAGTCAGCTAGAGAAGAGTAACACAGTCCAGTGTTGGCCCGATGGGCTCATGTGCTGTCCTTCACACCCACCTGTTTCCTGAAAGGATCTGAATACTTACCCCAGATGACTGGGACATATGTGATGTGTTGGTACATGTGCTGACTGCAGTCCTTTGACCATACAGAGCTCTAGGAGAGTGGGGGAAACATAGAGAAGGAAGCAAAGTAGGATAGAGGGAGACAGAAAGAAAGATGTGGACAATCACCATGGGCAACAGATCTTTGACTACGTGCAGGCTTGTCAGAGAAACAGCCGGGGGGCGGGGGTGTTGGTGGGGCCTCCCTTTGGCCTACATTCACAAAAACCGAGCAGCAGACACAGCAAGACTTCTGCAGAGAAATAAAGACAGCATATTGCCCAAGTTCCCTCAAGGGAAGGTCTGGGAACAGTGTGCATTCTTTGAACTGAAACCCTTCACCTCCTCTCCTGCAAGAAGCTGGCTGTGTTTCCAGAAAGTGCTCTGCTGTGTAGCACAATCAGCTCTCACCGCCACTAACTGGTGACCTAGACCACGGTAAGCCACAGTCCCGGAGGACTCCAGATCCTGTGGAGTGCAGCAGTGCACAAACCAGAGACTGCTGGTCCCTCACACTCCTGTCGTCACAGGGAGGGTCAAAGGAATGCTGCTGCCCATCCTCAGCTTTCTTTTGGTCCTAGGAAGTGACCAAAGCTCGGCCTTCAGTGAGAGGAGTTCCAAATGCCAGGAAGCCTGGACCGCTTCTAGCTGAAGCGAGGGAAGGAATGCCCAACTCCAAAGGCTGTTCTAAAGACCAAAAAAAGAAAAGCGCTTTACACTGTCTGGGGTACAGAGAGAACTCTGTTCCCACAAGGCATTTTAAAAAATCTCAACTCTCTACGTCTTCGTAAATCATATGCTGTCACAGCAGGAGGAGTCTTTTGAGACCGTCTCTTCCACTGAACTTACAAGACAAGCAGTTTGCTCTCCCATGACATGAAGTGATGGCCCTGATCAGTGTGTGGTCCCATCAGTCTAAGGTTCTGTCAATGCCCTCATTGTAGAAAGCACGGCACACCTGCACACACCAGAGTAGATTTGCCCCTCACCCCGGGGGCGGGAGGTCTTGCTATTATGCTAAGCAGTCACCTCCCCCCCCCACCCCCCCACCCCCCCCGCAGCGTTGGCTCACTATCCAAACCAACTTCAGAGGCCCCTGGATGAGACTGGGAGGCACATGAGCTCAGAACACACATGGGAGAGCAAAGCAAGATCTACAGTCTGTACTCTTTTTCTCTACGCCAGCAAGCTGAGTGTGTGAGGAGTGGGACAGACAGCTCCGGGGTTGGAGGCAGGGCAGCTGTGAAAACAACCTGTCCCAGGCTTCGCCCAGCTCTGTCACAAAGGGGCCCGAGCAGCTTCTCACCGGGGAGGAACTCCCAGCCCAAACAGAGAGAGCAAAACAAAAGCTGCTGTTGTGTGACCTCAGCACAACCAGGTCACCCCTCCTTCCTTTGAAGTTAAGTGGGATAGAAATCATGTGGGTGTAAAGTAATGGGGGAAAGTAACATTAAAAAAAAAAAAAACTGAAGATTTTCTTGCAGTTGGGTAGATGATTCAGTGGACAAAGCACTTGTCAGAAGAGCCTGAGAACCAGAGTTCAAATGCCCAGAACCCACACAAAAGCCAGGTAGGCACGGTGACACACCTATAATCCCAGTGCTCTAGAGACAGAGATGAGGGACCCCTGGAGCAAGCTAGCTAGCTAGACTAGTCATATGGGTGCGTTCTGGACCAAGTGAAAGGCCCTGACCCAGTGAATAAGATGGAGAGTGGCCAAGGAAGTCTCTCCACATCAGTTCCCGCCCCCACACAGAGGTGCACCCACGCGTGAACATACACACATACACATGTAAAAAAAAATGTTCTCTCACATACCTGGCAACTGAAAGTGGTCTTAAACTTTCTAAGTAAGTTAAGGATATACTGGCAGATAAATGGAAAAAGAAATTGTGGCACTATGTACAGATATAGTATAATATCATTCAGTCTTTTAAAAGGACATTTTTCCATTTGCAGCAATACAGATGAACTCAGAGGACATGACCAGACATGAAAGAAAAATACTACATACTCAATAATATCCAGAATCTGAAAGAAAAAGAAAAGACACATAGAAACAGAGTAAAATGGTAGTTACGGGGAGCGGGTAGATAGCAGGTGGGAAAGAAAAGAGAGAAATGTAAGTCAAAGGCATTACAAAGCAGATCTTTGGGGTGAGTAAATTAAAAGGCACAATTCAAAGCCTGTCTTAGATACATTTCTACTACTGTGATAAAACACCATGACCATGGCAGGTTATAGAAGGAAGGGTTTGTTTTGTTTTATAGTACCAACGGGATAAAATTTCATCGCCATCACAACCAGGAAGTGTGCAGCATTAGGCACGGCAGCAGGAACAGCAGAGAGCTCACACCACCAACTGCAAGCAGGAAGCATGGAGATCACACTGGGAATAATGTAAGGCTTTGAAACCTCAACCCCCTTCCCCATGACATACTTCCTCTAACAAGATCACACCTCCTAAGCCTCCCCAAACAGCCACCAACCGGGGGCCAAGCATTCAAATGCCCAGACTATGCAGGAATCTTTATTCAAATGACCACAAGGACAATATGTACAATGTACCAAAATATCAAGTAGGGCTCATTATTAAGTATGAAAGCTCAGACTATGTCTTAGGCTTGTCCCACTAGTTCTTATAACTTAAATCAATCCATTTCTATTCATCTGCATGTTGCCACATGACTTAGGGCTTTTACCTCTCCTCATGCATGTCTGTTCTCTCTCTGCACCTGGCTGGTGATGCCACCTTTCTTCTTCCCAGAGCTCTCTGTCGCCAGAAGTCCCTCCTAACCTCTTCCTGCCTAGCCAATGGCCTTTCAGCTCTTTATTAAACCAGTCACAGTGACACATCTTTAACAGTGTAAAGGGATTTTCCACAACACTTCAGTCTGTCTGAGTTCATATGTACCCCAGCCCTGTTGTGTCTAACAGGTCTTGATTCCTAGGTGTCCTCCATCCCTTCTAGGTCTTACACTTTCCAGTCTTGTCTGCAGGGTTCCCTGAGCCCTGAGGAGAGGAGTCTGATGGAGACACTCCTTTTAGGGTTGCGTGTTCCAAGGTCTCTCATTCTCTGCATATCGTCTGGCTGTGGGTCTCTGTGTTTGTTCCCGTCTGCTACAGGAGGAAGCTTCTCTGATGATGGCAGAGCAAGTGCTGACCTATGAGTACAGCAGAATGTTGTTAGAAGTCACTTTATTGCTGCGTTCCTTTAGCAAACCAGTAGTATTTGGTTTTACCCAAAGGCCCTGACCATTTGGTCTCAGGTTCTTAGCCACCCAAGCAGCGCTGGGTATCCCACCTCATGGAGTGGAACTTAACTCAAATCAGATATTTTTTGGGGGTTTGCTACTCCCAAGCTTTGTGCCATCATCGCACCATCACATCTTGCAAGTAGGTCACTCTTGTAAATCAAAGGGTTTTCACCTTTCTCCCTTGGTAGCATGCCGAGCACCTTCCAGCACCGTGAACACTAGTCAGTAGGGGAAAAGACTGTGTAGGCCCCAGCTTGACTTCTCTGTGTTCAATGTATTAGATGCTATCTTCAGCAACAGGGCCTTAGTGTCAGTTTGTGGAGAGCAACTGATAGCCTTAGAAATAGCCTGGGTTGTTTAGGGGTACCCATGGGACCCTTTGACCAACAACTCAATTATATGTAACCCATTTCCACTACTGGAAGCTTCATTTGGCAACAAGAGATGTCCAGTTGGGCCTCTGTCTCCTCGGTATTTTGCTGTGGGATGGTCTGTATGTCAAGTGTGTTGCTGATTGGTCAATAAATAAATCACTGATTGGCCAGTGGCCAGGCAGGAAGTATAGGCGGGACAAGGAGGAGAATAAAGCTGGGAAGTGGAAGGCTGAGTCAGAGAGACACTGCCAGCCGCCGCCATGACAAACAGCATGTGAAGATGCCGGTAAGCCACGAGCCACATGGCAAGGTATAGATTAATGGAAATGGATTAATTTAAGCTGTAAGAACAGTTAGCAAGAAGCCTGCCATGGCCATACAGTTTGTAAGCAATATAAGTCTCTGTGTTTACTTGGTTGGGTCTGAGCGGCTGTGGGACTGGCAGGTGAGAGAGATTTGTTCTGACTGTGGGCCAGGCAGGAAAACTCTAGCTACATTATTTGGCAATTTTATTTAGATTCCCTTGATATTATAATAAGAAGCCTCTACTGCACAAGGTTTCCAAACAGCTCCTCAAATGGCCCTTAGTTTTAGCTGTCCCTCCACCCATACTTCCTCCCTCTCACCCCTCTTCACTTCCTCTCCCCATTTGATCCTCCCATCCCAGTCCCCAACCCCCATCCATCCATAAGTATCTAATCTATTCCCCCTTCCTAGGGGGATCCATCCCTGCCCCTCTGTGGTCCCTTACTCTCTACCTAACCTCTGTGGTTAATATATTGTAGCTTGCTTATCAATGACTTAACAGCTAATATATACATATAAGAGAATACGTACCATATTTGTCTTTCTGGGTCTGGGATACCTCACTTGGGATTTTTTTTTCCTAGTTCAATTCATTCACCTGAAATTTTCATGATTTCTTTTTTTTTTTGACAGCTGAGTAACACTTTATTGTGTAAATGTACCATATTTTTTTATCCATCCATTCATCAATGGACATCTAGGTTGTTTCCAATTTATGGCTATTACTAATAGAGCAGCAATAAACATAGTTGACCAAGTGTCTCTGTAGTAGGATGAAGCATCCTTTGAGTATATTCTCCAGTGTAGTATAGCTAGGTTTGGGGATATATCAGTTCCCATCTTCCTGAGGAGCAACCACACTGATTTCCATAGAGGTGTACAACTTTGCACTCCCACCAGCAATGGATGAGTGTTCTCCTTCTTCCACATCCTTGCCAGCAAGAGCTGTCATTTGTCCTATTGATCTTGGCCATTCTGATGGGTACAAGATGAAATCTCAAAGTAGTTTTGAGTTGCATTTCCCCAATGACTAAGGATATTGAACACTTAAGTGTTACTCAGACATTTGCCTTTCCTCTTTTGAGAATTCTCTGTTTAGATCTGTGCCCCATCTTTAAACAGGGTTATTTCTTGCCTTCATGTCCAGTGTTTGTTTATTTGTTTGTTGGTTGGTTTATTTTTATATGCTTTGGATATTAGCCCTCTACTAGATGCAGAGCTGGTAAAAATCTTTTCCTCTTCTGTAGGCTGATGCTTTGTCCTAATGGTGATATCCTTTGCCATACAGAAGCTTTTCAGTTTCATGAGGTCCCATTTATTAATTTTTGTTCTTGGTGCCTGTGTTATCAGTGTTCTGTTCAAGAAGTCTTTGGTATTCTGTTCAGGAAGTCTTTTCCTGTGTCAATAAATTCAAGGCTATTCCCCATTTTCTCTTCTGTCAGGCTCAGTGTACCTTGTTTTATGTTGCGATCTTTGACCCATTTGGAGTTGAGTTTTGTGCAGGATAATAAGTATGGAACTATTTGTATTCTTTTACGTGCAGCCATCCAGTTTGATCAGAAGCATTTGTTAAAGATGCTGTCTTTTTTCCAGTGTGTATTTCTAGCTTCTTTATCAAAATTTAGGTGTCCATAGTTGTGCGGACTTATTTCTGGGTCTTAAATTCTATTCCATTGATCACATGTCTGTTTTGTGCCAATACTCTGTTGTTTTTATTACTCTAGCTCTATAGCACAATTTGGGATCGGGGATAGTAATACCTCTTGCAGTTCTTTTACCATTCAGGAGTATCTTAGCGGTCCTGGGTGTTTTGTTTCTATATGAAGCTGAAAGCTGTCTTTTCAAAATCTGTGATGAATTGTATTGGAATTTGAAGCAGATAAGGCCCACACACCAGATGAATGGGCTAAGCCTCAAGTAAAAAAAGCTGTGACATGGGCAGTCGTGCCTTGACCCAGAAGAGCCTGAAACTGGACCCCTTAGATGGCAACTGTCGATATAAGACCCAGGGCCAAGTCAAGAAATACCACAATAGCCATAGAAGCAAAATCTGCCCAACAGTCCACATATAAATACCTCAGCCCTTTGTTTAATAAAAAAGCTTTCTTGAAACTCCCAGAATCTGTGTCACTGATTCTGTGTCTTCTCAACCCCTGCCACCAAGGGTACCCAGACCAGTAGAGCCAGAACAGCAACAGGAATTTCGATGGGGATTGCATTAAATCTGTAGATTGCTTTTGGGAGGATGGCCATTTTTACTATATTAATCCTACCAATGCATGTGGGCTCCTGACTTCTAATGGCATTCTTTTTTGATCTGGCCTTGTTATATGTCAACTAGGTAAAAACTCACAACCTGTGCACTTTTTTGTAGCAATATTTCAGGAGGAAGTTCTTTAAGGTACTTTTAGAAGAAAATACAAGAGAAGATCAGAGATTGACTCCTTTTCTTTCTCTTTGTTCTTCTCTTCCATTCTTTTTTGTTTTGTTTTGTTTTTCTTTTTTTTTTTTTTTGTTCTTGTTTGAAATACTACGGATTAGTTGAACATTGGGTCTTATACATGCTAAGCAAGAATTCTTAGTACCATTGAGGTACATCTTCAAATGAGGATTTTTTTTTCATTTTTATTTTCAAGACAGGGTCTTATGGTGGTATTTTATTTGTACTGAAATGTGATTTTAATTGTATGTTAATAAATAAAGTTGCCCAGGGGTCAGAGCTATTAGAGCCATAGTAAGAGAGTGGCAGTGGTGGCACACGCCTTTAATCCCAGCACTTGGTAGACAGAGCTAGGTAGATCTCTGTGTGTTCAAGGATACAGCCATCATTGGAGACACACGCCTTTAATCTCAATCCCAACCATAGAAGACCTGGAAGTCTCTACAGACAGGCAGTGACAAGGCAGTCATATGGTGATATTTTATTTGTATTAAAATGTTATTTGTATGTTAATAAAGTTGCCCGGGGTCAGAGCTATTAGCAAGCCATAGGAAAGCAGGGCAGTGGTGGCATACGCTTGTAATCCCAGCACTTGGTAGGCAGAGCTAGATAAGTCTCTGTGTGTTCAGGGATACAGCAATTATTGGATACACATGCCTTTAATCTAAATACCAATCATGGAAAACCTGGAGGTCTATACAGACAGGCTGTGATGAGGCGGTCATGTGGTTGGGTTTACAACCAATGAGAAGGCAGAACAGAAATTCTATATAAGGACTTTAACACAGAAAGTAGCTCTGGTTCGGAGAGGTAGGACCACCACAGGAGGAAGGGTAAGGTTTTAGCTCTTAGCTCTGACCTCTTGGCTTTCTTCTTTGCATTGGTTCTGTGTTTCTTATTTAATAAGAAGATTGGTTACATCTACAAATGGTGCCCAACGTGTTGGCAAGAGTTTCCACCTAAAACCTGAGAAAAGATTCTAAAACAGAGCTAAAAACAGTTTCCTAATTATCTCTCTCAAATGAGCGGCAGCTGCTGGTTTGAGCTACTGGTGCGTGCGCACTTGGCCTGCAGTATGGCAGGAATGAGGCCTCTGCAAGTGGCACATTAAGCTGCATGGTGGATTTAGCCTTTGCTAGTACAAAACAAAAAAAGAGGTTTCTGGGCTACAGACTGCTTGGATAAAAGCATAGACCCACAATAGCTCCCAGAACTGGTGGAAAACATACCACCACCATGTTGGGAAGCTGAGGTGGGCAGAGCCAGCAGCCATAGCGCCATTTCAGTCTTACAAATGCTGCAGTTTAAAGCAATAGATTCACAATAAGACAAATTCAGATGTAATAGTTTACAATGTGTGTAAAATATACGTAGGCTTGAAAGAGACAAAAAAGGTGATATATACAGTTATATAAACAAATACATAGTTTTAAAAAATAAAGTCTTTAAAGAGACAGTAAAATTAATATAAAAAATAAGCCATGTAAAGATGAATATTACACAGAGAATCTGGATTGTGTTGTCTTTGGGATTTTTAACTGCAGAAAAACATTTGATTGTAAAAGCTGTTGAGTTATGCCAAAATGTATACTTTAAAGGTACCTTGACTTCAAAATTTGGATGTAAGGATATGTTGCTTTGAAAAGGAGACTCTGCTTTTGTTTCCACAGAAAGCCAAAGGCTATGGATTTGTTCAAGATTAAGATACATCAGGTTTGACCAGCCAAGACCCCCTGAAAGGTCTCCGATGACACCATGGCCCAGATGATCCAACATCCAGAATGGTTTCAAGGCAACTGGCTCAGACAATACAGCCTCATGGACTATTCTATAATCCTAAAATTTTCTTTGTGTCCCCATAAGATACAGCACCCCCCTCCAGCTGGAAGTAGTAAGAGAAGCTACGCCCAAATTCCCAAATTATATGTAATTTTACTTTGTTAAGGTTAAAACCTTCCTTTTTGAAAAAAAAAAGAAAAGGGGAAGTGCTATGGGATGGTCTGTATGGCAAATGTGTTGCTAATTAGTCAATAAATAAAACACTGATTGGCCATTGGCTAGGCAGGAAGTGTAGGCGGGACAAGGAGGAGAATAAAGCTGGGAAGTGGAAGGCTGAGTCAGAGAGACACTGCCAGCCGCCATGATGAGAAACAGCATGTGAAGATGCCGGTAAGCCACGAGCCATGTGGCAAGGTATAGATTAATAGAAATGGATTAATTTAAGCTGTAAGAACAGTTAGCAAGAAGCCTGCCATGGCCATACAGTTTGTAACCAATATAAGTCTCTGTGTTTACTTGGTCGGGTCTGAGAGGCTGTGGGACTGGCAGGTGAGAGAGATTTATCCTGACTGTGGGCCAGGCAGGAAAACTTTAGCTTTACACAGTCATGTTTTTGGGTTTACAACCAATGAGAAGGCAGAACAGAAAGACTATATAAAGACAAACACACAGGAAGTAGGTCTCTTTCGGAGAGGTCTCTTGGCTTAAGAGGCTAGCTGCAGGGTAAGGCTCTTAGCTCTGATCTCTTGACTTTCTTCTTTGCATTGGTTCTGTCTTTCTTATTTAATAAGACGGTTGGTTACATCTATAGGGTCTCACTAAGTTGCCCATGCTGCCTGGAACTTAGAATCTCCCTGCATTAACCTCCTAACTAGCCTCCACAACTGGGCCCAGTTTAAAGGATTACTGGATCTGGGCTTGAGATATAGCTCAATTGGTAGAATGCATGCCCAACATGCACAAAGCCCTGGGTTTGATTCTCATTCCCAACAAACCAGGTATGGTAACACATATCTATAATCTTAGTACTTGGGAGGTAAGGCAAAACCAGAAATTTTCCTTATTTCTTATATAAGATACATAAAACATAAATCCTTAAATGTTTGATAAATTCAATTGCACAAAAATATTTTAAATCAAGAAAGCAGAAACAGCAGCAGCAAAGAAGCTGTAAACATTATAAGAAATAATATCATAAAGGCGGTACATCCATTTTGCCGTGATCTATGCCAATCCTTTGTAAATGTGATTCCCTGGACCCTTGAAACTACCTCTCAAGGACAACGCTGTGATCATCCCTATTTTGCAGACAGGAAAACTACTATTTGAAGAATTTCAGTTACTTGCTTATGGGCATTTCACCTTAGTAAGTATGAGTCAGTAGTTGAACTCAGGAAGGTCTGACCTGGAGGCCTTTGTCATCAACCAGGTACACAGAAGGCTAGGAGTCCAAATAGGAGAGTAAGGTTGGGGTCATAAGTCATGTTCCAGATTCCTTTCCCCATAGAGTCCAGCAATGTTTTCAGATAGAGTGGGTAGCTACAGTTATGATGCCGCTGCTGCCTTGAGGTCACGGTTAGAGCTCTCTCCTCCTTATGGGCTAGAGTGAGTGAGCAGAGAGGGGAGAGGCTTCTCCCATTCGTTCTCTGTGCCTGTTACCACTTAGACTGATGGCTTTCACAGCAGCTCTAAAGCAGCTCTGCACTCTGACTGGCCCTGTCCTCTGGCACACACCAGGCCCATTCCAACCCCGAGCACTGCTCCTCCCACCCAAGAGCCCTTTCCTTCCTCTTTACTTTGGCCAGGATGCAACCACACCTGTACTCTGTAGGTGGCACGTGCTACTCCAGGCTGTTCCATGAAACTTTCCCCCGAGTGACTGTTCATTTTGCCCTCTCCAACATGGTGACCACTGAGCCACATGTGGTTATTCAGCACCTGCTATAACAAGCATGACTGAAAATGGCTGCCTATGGCCTGCAGCTGCCACACTGACACTGACTGTATATCATTGCTTTGGTTAGATTTCTTCCAGAACCGAATACTGCGGTTGATTGGTTTTCTATTTGACTTGGGTGAGTCTTGTCTTTGGATGCGAGCCATTAGCATAAGAAAAGAATTAAAGACAGGGGAAGTCTACTTGTGTGGCCCGACCGTTCGGTGCTGAGCCCAGAGGAGAATCATCACAGTGAATTCCTATTAACAACAGTTTCTGGCTCACAATAACAGAAGCAGAAAACACAGCCTGGAGCACTTGGAACCCCAAGTAGCAGATGTTCTACTTTCAAAGTCCAGGTAGACTATGGATTCCAGAGAGAAGCTAACAGCTTCACTGTGACACAGTCAGCACCTAGGACCCAGCTGAGGGCAGACGTTAGTCCTGGCCAAGCATTCAAAGTCCTCCAAGGCCTCGCTGCCATTCCCTATAATCCTCCTGCAGCTCAGTGGTGGCTCAGGATTCCACAGTGGGTCCCAAGCAGGGTCTGGAGAGGTGATATGTGTCACAAGCCAGAGGGAGCAGGGATGCCGGGGGTGCTAATTATAGGCATTAAGTATGGCAGTCCTGAGAGCCTTGGACTCTGCTTTCCCTTAGCCAAGCCCCACGAGTGCAGTTACTGAAACTTCCTCTGAAGTGATAACAGACAGGCAGAAGGTGGAGGAGAAGAAGCTGAGCTGGGGACACCTTTGACATGTGCCCTGTCCCCGAAGCCTGTCCCTTAGTGCCTGTACAGATGTCTGGGCTGCTTCCAGGACACAGCAGTTGAGGGAGGGGAATGTCAACTGGGGAGAATCAGCAACAACGGGAGCTGTGGTTCCCTTGAGACAAGAAGACACGGCGGTAAGGGGCTAAGAGGACTGTTAAAGAATGTCCCTCAGAGCCTCTCAAATCCCAGATCTAATGACGACCCTGAGGTGGATGACAGTCACACTGAAGATGAAGATAGGAGTGATTGAGGGGTCTGGGCATTGTGCTCAGTGACCTGTCTCTACATTAGTAGACAGTCTGGAAGGTGCCTTTAGGGACTTGGGAGAGGCTCTGGCCCCTTTCTTTAGGGTAAAGTAAGAGAGAGAGATAAAGGGAGATAGCCTCTATCACACAGGATGTCCCATCTGTTCATGGAAGATGTCCCTAGGCTGGGGCAGAGTGGACAGGAAAAGCAGGAAGTTAGTTGGATGCCTGAGCACATTACGAATGACACCCTGACACAGCATCAGCCCTTCCTGGTCTAGGAAGAGGAAGTATCTGGGGTTATGTGCTGCATGTAGCATGTGAAGTAGATTCCACATCCCCCCCCACCACACACACACACACACACACACACACACACACACACACACACACACAGATACACACACACACACACCCCTAGCCAAAAAGGAGAAGCATTCTGAGGTGAAATGTCCTGATAAGAAAGGCACCTGCCATCTCTCTGTAAAGCTCTTTCCGGAGATAGGCAGGACCCTTTCCTGACTTTCACTCTTTCTTCTCCTTCACCTCCAGGTTCTGCCTCAGCCACATGACCCCTCATGGAGTCTCTTAGCAGCGATAGAAACTCTAACTAAGACACACACATCATGTGCTTCTGGAGAGCAGTACCAGGTATGGTTATCAGCATACCTCCTCCTCATGGTCAACAAGTTTATTTTATGGTTAGGTAGACATTAACTCTGCCCTCCCAAACCCAATCCTTCCCGTGAGAGGCGATGCTCACTGGGGAAGGATTGCTTTACTTGTGTAAGCTCCTGGGAAGCTACTGTTTTTGCTCTCTGTGTAAAGAAGATAAGAAACTTCTGGAAGTCATCAAGGAATACTCTAAAAGCCATCCTAAGATCAATGGACAGCAGATAAGACAAGATAAAGTAGACATACTGGAAATCTGAGGAGGAGGAGGAGGAGGAGGAGGAGGAGAAGGAGGAGGAGGAGGAGGAGAAGGAGAAGGAGAAGAAGGAGAAGAAGGAGAAGGAGAAGGAGAAGGAGAAGGAGAAGCAGCTATTAGAACTATTAGATCAAGCCTTACATGATAGACATATGCCTGTTGGTGTTGTTAATGAGTTCTTGAGGGGGAGGGTTGGGATGTCATTTAGTGGTAGATCACATGCCTAGTATACATGAGGGCTTGGTTGGATCCCTAACAACACTTAATAAATGTATAAATAAGTAAATAAAAAATAAAACTTTTTTTGGTTTTAATACTGTAGGAATTAGAGTTATTACTTGGAACCAAAGTCACCCTCAGTGACACACTATCTAAAGATTATTAGCTCTGCCGTTGCTTCTGGCTAATGAAACTCCATGGTCTAGCTAAACTACATCCATTCAGGTAGCACCCCAATGTCAGTAGACACTTATTTTAGAGGCCTGCAGGAATAGAAGGACCCGTGAAGCACCTCACATCACACCATGATGGTGTCTAACTCTGCAGCCTACATGTGAGGCTGAGTCTTTATTTCAATTTCTCTGTCCCTAAATCCAGGTGATAAAACATACTTCCTTCTACCATCCCTGTGGTCATGTAAAAGTGGAGAAGTTAAAAGTATTCAACTTTGTGTGGTTTTGTTTTCCACATCAAGAAGCATGAACTGTGTCTTTGAAAAGCAGGTCTCCTCACCTCTGGAAGGACAATGTCTCGTGAGACACTTACGAGAGGCCTCTGTGTTGGCTCTTAACATTGAGAAAATCTCTAATGAGGTGCCAGAATCAGAGGTCAAACCTCCACTCTTTATTCCCAGAACAAACTTATTAAACAGTAACACCTTGAAAATGAGTGTCGAATTAGATCAGTGACTTTTTAGCCATGCAATTCTTACATTGGTAAAGCGCTGCCCACTGGGAATGTGTATTGCAAGTGTGTGCTTGCCCATCATCCAAGCACCTCGTTTACTATAATCACTGTTTGTTCTGTCTTTGTAGATTCCATTCTAGGGCTGAAAAAAATGACTCTGAGTACTTAGGCATATTTGCTGTTCCTCAGACCTGAGCTTGGTTCCCAGCACTGGGGTCAAGAGGCTCACAACTGCCTATAACTGCCTGCATCTCCAGTTCCAGGTACTCCAACACCATCTTTTGGCTTCCACAGGCACCCACACCCACATCCCCTAACCTAGTCTAGCCACCCTACCTGCACCCCAACCTGCCTCTAGGATTCTGTCAAGACCCACTCTGCCTAACCCCCAACCCACTGGACCCTCCCTTACAACAACAGTCAACCTTTCCACCCAGCAAGATCTATGCCCACACTCTGGACTTGTACCAGGACTCACATCCTGTACAGCAGCCCAGCACCTCTGTCTACCCAATTTCATTCCACCTAAGCCATTTCTAACCTCTAGGCCCAACCCACCCACACATCCTCCCTTCTGTCCCAACCTGCTTTGTCCATAACAGACTCAGAACTAACAAAAGAAGTCCACATGTCCAGATCTCATTGGAAAAAAGCACAAAAAAAATTATGAATGATCAAGCTAGTATCTTCCCTCCCAAACCTTCTAGTCCTGTACAAATGTTTGCTAATGAGAATTACCTAGATGAACCCCAGGACACAGAATTTAAAAGAACAATCACAAACTTCATCAAAGAATTCAAAGAGTTTGAAGAAGACACAAACAGCTCAATAAAATCAAGGAGAAAGGACATAGGGGGAGTAAATGCCTGAGTGACACTCAAGAAAACACAAGAGTAAGGCTGACAGACATGGCAAAGACAATCCAGGACTTAAAGATGTAACTCAATAAAGAGACAGAAACACTACAGAGGACTCAAACTGAAATGAAGATGGAATTGAAAAACTCAGTAACCCAATGAGAAGTTGTATGAGCAGAGTGAGTCAAGCAAAAGATGGGGTATTGGGACTCATAGATAAAGGTGAGGATCTAAACCGAACAAGCAAAGGATATGAAAATTAAAAAAAAAAAATAGCTGGGCGGTGGTGGCCCATGCCTTTAATCCCAGCACTTGGGAGATAGAGGCAGGTGGATCTCTGTAAGTTCAAGGCCAGTGTGGTCTACAGAGTGAGTTCCAGGACAGCCAGAGCTACACAATGAAACCTTGTCTCAAAAAACCAAAACCAAAATAAGTAAATAAATAAATCTTAGACTCCATCCTACTTTCTCATTTTTTATTCTTTGGAAAGGTTTATTTTTATTTTTATTATCTGTATGTAAGAGTGTGGAATGGATATGTGCATGTGAGTGCAGGTGCCCTCTGAAGCCAGAGGCATCAGACCTTCCTGGAGCTGTATTTATTGATGGGTGCTGGGAGTTGAACTTGGGTTCTCTGTCAGTACATACTACACTCTTAGCCACTGGGCCATCTCTCCAGCCTCTCTATTTGCTCTTAACATTCTCTCCATTCTCCTTTAGGGAATAGCCACAACCAGCCTCTGTCCATGTGGTTCCAATGAGGCTGAGCCCACTTCTAACCCTACCCCCACCCTAGAGAAAGCAATAAAGAATAGAAACAGCCCAAGCTAACCACATACCCATTGCCTGGAAAACAATGTCTGCCTGGGCAGGGATTCCACTTCAGTCCCAGGAGTCTTAGTCCTGGGACTTAGGTTGAAGTCATTAAGGAAAGAAAACTCTGTTTCCATGGAAGATGCTAAGATTTGAAGACGAAAGCCTAAGGCTGCTGGGAGCTGTTTATCACTCGAGAAGAGACTGGACAATGTCAATATAAAGAAGAGAAGACCCTAGAGACAGATAGAAAGAAGTCCTGAGGAATCCATTTGAATCCCTGGATCACCTTCATGACTGAAGCCTGTACTGCTACATACCCGTTTACTCCACAAGTCAATAAATTTCATCTTCGAGTCAGTTTTGGTCAGCATTTTATTACATACACGAATCCAAATTTTGTATTTGCACAAAATAAATTGGAAACAAAATTGATCTCATCATAACATCTTTTTCTGTTGTATGTGAAATACTTTTCTTTGTCAAAGTGAAGAACAAGCTGCCATAGGATGTTTTTCTGTATGCTGTGAGTATGTGTGGCTCCCATTGGATAATAAATAAAGCTGTTTTGCCTATGGCAAGAAAGCTTACAGCCAGGGGGAAATCCAAGCAGAGATACAGAGAGAAGATGGGTAGAGTGGAGAGAGATGCCAACTGCCGCCCAAGGAGCAACAAGATGCCAGCAGACCGGTAACGCCACAGCCACATGGCAACATATAGATTAATAAGAATGGGTTAATTTAAGATGAAAGTGCTAGCTAGCAAGCAGCTAAAACCATAGGCCATACAGTCTGTAATTAATATAAGCCTCTGTGTAATTATTTAATAAGTGGCTTCGGGACAGCATGTGGAAGAGATTCGTCCAGACTGCTGGGCAAGGCAAGACTGAAGAAATTTCTGCCTACAACAAGCCAATACCAGCAATGACTTGACCTATATTTTAGGTATCTGTCGAAGTAAGAAACTAAAAAAAAATCTGAGCCTACTAAAGTAATGTGTCTTGTCCACGCACATGAGTCAGCTGTCTTCACAAAGTAAAGATGGAAACAATTTTTCTTCTAAGACAGCAAGCATCTCATGTAGCCAAGGTTTGCCCCAAACTGTCTATGTAGCAGAAAATAGTCTTGATCTTCTGATCCTCCTTCTGAGTGCAGGGATTACAAGCATGAACCACCACACCCAATTTATATGAAAATCTCTTTACTGTGCTATTACTGGTGTTCCATCTCTGCAACTTATAGAGTGTGTAATTGACTGTTACTATCACAGCCTGTTTCTATTCACAACGTTTCATATTTTCCAAAACACTTCCCTGCTGCATTTGCATTCACATAACCCTGAGCAGTCAACAGTGATTCCAGCGACTGGATCTGAGCAGGGTGAAGTGGCCTGCCCTGAACCAGAGCAGGGAAACCAAATCCTCATCCTCCTCTTGTGAGGGCAGTGGGATCACGAATAGGAAAGCACTTTGGAAGGAAAGGAAGTCTATTGATGCCAGATGTATTATTACAAAGCCAAACCTAAGTACACAGTGACCCTGTTATCACCCCCAGAGGTGGGATGCTTACAGATCAGTCCTGTTCAATCTCTTCTACCCAGGGGAAAGTATGGGGGACTTTCTCTAGCAAGGTTAAGCCTTGCATATGTCTGACATCACCTTTTCCAGAAAGGACCCATCAGGAAGAAAAGAGTGACAGCTCCTTTATTCTTTAAGAACATCACCCTCCGATTACATTCAACCCAGGTCAATCCAGACGTCAGAGGATAATTGCAGAGCTGTCAGAATTCAAAATTTATAGACAGTGTGGACATACGTGATGGTTTGTTGGGGGAAATGGATTCGTCATGTGCACAATCCATGGCAGCAGATAAAACACCCTGACAATATTACACACTTGGGGGTGCAGGGCCTGAGCATATTATTTTGAAAGCATGCTGTTATGACATTTTGGAAATTCCAGAGTCGGTGCTGAGCAGATCCAGAGGCTACAACATGCCCCATTATGCAGCTGTGCAGGGCCACAGAGAACCATCCACTTCACAACACAAACTGTATTTTCTCATTTCCTTTCCGTCAAGTCATGGAGTTCATTAAAGGGGTGTTTCATAAAAATTTGATAGAGATGTGTTTAAAATAAATTAGTATGACAATAGTAATATTCCTTTGAGGTTCTTAAAATAATACAAACAACTCTATTTAGTTTTAAATTCCAAAATTGCAAAATTTTTAAGCTGAAAGCCCAACAAACTGTAAAATCTACTTATTTCTCTCCAGCTGGCCAAGAGGAATTTGTGCCGTGTGTGTGTGTGCGTGTGTGTGTGTGTGTGTGTGTGTGTGTGTGTGTGTGCACATGTGTGTCTGTATGTGTGTGTGCATGTGTCTGTACGTGTGTGTTCTGTATGAGAGTGTGTATATGCATGCATGCATCTATGTGAGCATTTATACATATGGGTGCATACAGAAACCTGAAGAGGAAAACATCTGGTGTTCTCCATCATGTCCCTTCCACCTAATCTCTTGAAACAGTTCCTCACTGTCTCTAAACCTGGAGCTCACCTGTTTTAGTCATTGTTAGTTTGTTTCGTTAGTCTGGTGACCAACAATCCCCAGCAATCCTGCTGTCTCATTCCACCCCTGCACTAGGGTTACAATTGAGTGTGGCCACATCTCATTTTTTTTTTTTTTTTTTTAGTGTGAGTGGCCCTGGGGATCTGAACTCAGGTCCTCATGATTACACAAGTGTTCTTACCCACTGAGCTATTTTCCCAGCCCTTAAATGTCTGCCTTTCTGTCAGAAAGAACCTTGTATCCGAGGTGCATTTGCTTTCTACTCGGAAGAGATTAAAGAATGCCGCTTTCACATAACACAGTTTCCTCCTACTTAGTGCAGTTCATACCTCAGAGGGCTTGTTGTGTATAGACTTTCACACATCTGCTATTTTAAACCTCACAACAGCCCAAACAGAGAAGCAACTCTCACACCCTCATTTACAGGTAAGCAAATGGAGACCTAGAAGACCAAATTGCTTGTCCACATTACTAAGCAGGTGATTTTAGAGTTAGAACTCAGGGGTTTCCATCCTATGCTGCAGGCATTCAACCTGACACAGGCAGAGGGTATTTCTGCATGCTTTCACTGGTCTCCAAGCATGCACCAGGCCCTGTGCCAAGCACTAGTTTGACGTGCACAAAAAGATGTCGTAACTGAGATTTTTCAAAAGTAGTCAGTGGCACATGACACATGCCCAAAGCTCCAAGTTGGAACCAGAAGGTGTTGGCATTTGAAGATTTCCTTGATGTTGATATGGAGGTGGGAGACATGACACTCCTCTCCTCCTGGTGGAGCACTGCTAAGAGCACCAGCAGCCTGGGGGGCCTATCTTTCTCGGTGAGGTTAACTTGATCCCAGAAATGATGGCGGTTGACTGTAAGGACAGAAACAGAAATAAGAAAGGTCAGCCAAAGAGGCAGCTCTCTCTGTGAACCAAAGAAAAGCTAAACACCAGACTGGTCCAGCTGGGCTTTAAAGAGCTTGGGTCCTGGTCTGGGAACAGGGCTGCTGTGGTTCATTCCCAGCAGCAGGCTGACTCTGGACTCCCAGAACTAGGGCTCACTGAGCTCCAGTGTCCTGCCACTGCCAAGACTCAGCAGTTTCCCCTCCCTCTCTCCCTCATAATGCTCCTGGTGTTACTAAACAGCCCTCACCACCTTCTCCCTCGCCATAGCTAATTTGCACATCCTCTTCTGAGCTGTAAACTCACCTTTTGCTTCTCGCTCTCTCTGTGTCTCTTGGCTTCTTTTCCTCTGACTAATTCTCTCACATGATGGCTTCAGACTCTTGAGAGAAAGCATCTCGTTGGTCGATGGCATCACTGTTTCCCTTTCATACAAACGTTTGCACCAGGCTCCCTGATAGGCTGTGAGCTGACCTGTGGACTAATGTAAATGTACTGTCTGCAGCCAAGTGTTTATCGAAGATGAGCTAAAGCTCTGGAGATGAAGGTGGGGAGGATCCTATGGGACAGAGCATGACCACACCTACCTGCGCATAAAGACAAGCTTTAGTTGACTGAGGCTGTAGCTCTGTGGCACAGTGCTTTCCAGGCTTACAAGAGGCCCTGTATTCCATCTCCAGTGGTACAAAACTAATTAATAAAATTAAATTAAAAATTTAAAAGCTGAAGTCCATGCTTTCTTTTCTCCCTGAGAATGGCCTTTTCTGTGTAACCTTGGTTGGCTTAGAACTCTCTACTTAGACCAGACTGACCTAAACTTGTGAACATCTTCTTGCCTCTGCCTCCCAAGTGTTAGCATCATACCTAACTACCATGCACTACCCAGCCAGGCCCTTGAGCCTATTATTTCATCAAGGAACAATAAGCATAGGGTGGTCAGATAAAATTCAAGATCTTCAATTAAATCTGAATTTCTGAGAAAGGGCATAAAAGTTCTAATAGTGGTGTGTGCCAAAATATTGCATGGGACATACAAATATTATTCGTTGCATATTGAGAAGTTTGTATTCTGGCCTGTTACATATGGCTGTGCTACATGAGGGGGAAAGGAGAGTTGCTTCATGACATACCAGGAACTTGAGTTTAGAAAAACACAGCTCAACTACGGCCAGGGGTTGGCAAGATGACTCAACCAGGAAAAGCACTCACCATACAAGCCTGATGGCCTGAGTTCAACCCTAAGAACCCACATAAAAAAGCCAGAT